GATATCTGTCTTTTCTAAACAACTTTATGAGATAAAATTTATAAACCGTACAGTTCACCTATTGAAAACATAAAAGTTAGTGGTTTTTAGTATGTTCACAGAGTTGTACAACCTAAATGTCTATGTTTGTGTTTATTTAAATGCTCTTTTGTAGAGTATTCTGTTACTAAGACTCTGATTAACTTTCCACTCCACATGCCACAATATCTACGCCCTCTTCCTTCCTGCTAGTTCTTTTTCTATTTTCCTTTTCTGTCTTTCCTTTTTAGTTTCTCTGACTTACTTTTTTTCCATTTGTCATTACATTTTTTTCTCTTTATTAATTTAAAAAATTACCCAAAGTAATATAAAAATACATTTTCACTGTAAAAGATTCAAAAACCAAAATATATACAGAAAAAATTTAAAGTTTCCTTTCCTGTTCCTTCTACTCTGTCTTTTCCTAAGGAAACCACTATTAATAGATTGGTGTGTATCCTTTCGGTCCCTTTCATTTTAGGAGGTTTATATACAAATATACATGTATATACACACATCTCTATATGTTCTTTTTTAATGAGATCCTACTAAATGTTTTGCTCTGCAAGTTGGCTTTTTCTTTTTACACTATGTCATCTTCCCATGTAAATACATACAGATTTACTCCAACCTTTTGAATTACTACCTAGTATTTAGCTACCTCTCGATAATTGTTAATAATTTTTATTGTTGCCTTGTGGTGGTGCTGGTGGTGGTGATGATGATGATATCTGCAGAAGTGTATGGATGGTAAAGGAAGGGAAAGGAGAAATATAATAATGGGACAGTCTTACAAACTCTCCAGGACAGAAATAACTCTGTAGGTACTATCCTAGGCAGACAATCTAGTAGAATCACACAACATAGATGTAAAACAGCAAAGTATGTCAAGCAGGATGTAAATAAGATGGAAAATGAATTGTAGAGACCCAAGATAATTAAAATTATATATCTGTACAAAAACTTGTACACATACATTTACAGAAATATTATTCATAATAGCCAAAAAGTAGAAACAATTCAAATGTCTATCACCTGATAAAGAGATAAACAAATTGTGGTATATTCAAATACTGGAATAGTATTCCACCATAAAAGGATACATGCTACAATAAGGATGGACATTGAAAATATAAGCGAGGGAAGCCATTAACAAATGGCCACACATTTTATGTGATTCTATTTATATGTCAAGTTCCGAAAAATCCAATAGTGGTTGCCAGGGGATGGGGGAGCAAAGGGAAGAATTGGGAGTGAATGCTAATGGGTAAAGAGTTTCTTTCTGGATGATGAAAGTGTTCTATAATTAAGTTATGGTCATGGTTTCAAAACTCTGTGAATATGTTAAAAATCACTTAATTGTATGCTTTAAAAGGGTATATTTTGTGGCATGTTAATTGTATCTCAATAAGGCTATAATTTTAAAAAACCGGGCCAGGCATGGTGGCTCACATCTGTAATCCCAGCAAGTGGCCTCCCACTCAAGTGGGTGGATCACTTGAGCCCAGCAAGTTTGAGAACAGCCTGGGCAACATAGTGAGATCCCAACTCTGCAAAAAGTACAAAAATTAGCTGGGTGTGATGGCATGTGCCTTTAGCCTCAGCTACTTGGGAGGCTGAGGTGGGAGGATCGCTTGGGACCAGGAGGCTCAAGCAATGAGCCTCAAGTTGCAATGCGTCAAGGTCACACCACTTCACTCCAGTGTGGGCTACAGAGTGAAGCTCTGTCTCAAAAAAACAAAATCTGTAGAACCCAAGCACTACAGGAATTCAAGAAGGAGAGATAAAGAGAGGCAAGGCAGAATTGTCAGAGAGAACTTCATGGAGAAGGACTTGCACTAAACTCAAGAGATGAACATAAGTTAATTATGCAGGGTTGCAGGGGACAGTTTTGTAGGCAGGAAAAAGAACTTAACAAAAGGCTTGGTATTGAGACTAGACAAGTTGTCTCAGTAAGACAGTACAGTAAGTACAAAAATCTGAAGGAGGCAGAAAACAAGAACTTAAAGTCAGGACATTAACAGTAGGATAATGATACTAAATTTTATCTCAGAGAATCCTAGACAGATTTTGAGCATGGGAAAGTGTGATAAACTGGAATTTCAGAAACATTAATATGATAGATTTACAGGTGAACAGAGTGCAGATAGAAAGACCACTTAAAAGATGACTGTAATAGTCAACACTTAAAGCTGAACTAAGGAGGTGGTAAAAAATAGAAAAGGGGGATCCAGCACGGAGGCTCACGCCTGTAATCCCAGCACTTTGGGAGGCCGAGGCGGGTGAACCATTTGAGGTCAGGTGTTCAAGACCAGCCTGGCCAACATGGTGAAACCCTGTCTCTACTGAAAATACAAACATTGGCATGGAGGTACATGCCTGTAATCCTAGCTACTGGGGAGGCTGAGGCATGAGAATTGCTTGAACCTGGGAGGTGGAGGTTGCAGTGAGCTGAGATCGTGCCACTGCACTCCAGCCTAGGCAACAGAGTAAGACTCTGTCTCATAAAAAAAAGAAAGGATAACAGAGGGCCGGGGGCGGTGGAGCAACCCGGAAATACCACCAATTTCATAGGAGACAAATGAAAATAAACTCCTTTGACATAACAAAAACAAGAAGGACAACATGGTGAAACCCCGTCTCTACTAAAAATACAAAAAATTAGCTGGGCATGGTGGCGTGTGCCTGTAATCCCAGCTACTCAGGAGGCTGAGGCAGGAGAATTGCCTGAACCCAGGAGGCGGAGGTTGCGATGAGCCGAGATCGCGCCATTGCACTCCAGCCTGGGTAACAAGAGTGAAACTCCATCTCAAAAAAAAAAAAAAAAAAAAAGAAAAGAAAGAAAGAAAGAAAGAAAAGAAAAAGAAAATAAAACAGAAAGGAGAGGGTAGACAAGCAAGATGTTAGAACTGGCCAATATTTATGTACCGTAAATTTGCCAACCAGAATAGTCCTGAAGATTCTAAATATTCAAAATAGTGTTACCTGCCAAATTATTGGGGTTAGCACTATTGTTTGTAAATTCAGGGCAACAGGACAAAATCTTGGGTGGACCAGTGTTAATTGCTCACTGCTCAAAACAGCAGAAGCATTAACTCTACCTGCAGTAGGTAGTCCTAGCCTACCTGTAGGGATTTATGCTAGAAAAACTGGTTTCAATTATTTTTCCTTGGTAAAATTTTTGGCTTTTGAAATAACATACATTTATAAATGAAGTTCTTAATTATCTTTCTGATTCAAAGTGTCAAGCTCCTACAGATTATTTTTTACACATTTACCAGTGTTTATCACGTGGCAGATACTGTCCTAAATGCTTTATAAATATTACCTAATTTAATCCTTACAGCAATCTTATGCGGTAGCACTTATGTTATTATCATCCTCATTTTATAGAGTAGGAACCATAGCACAGAGAAATTAAGAGATTTGCCCAAGATAACGTAGTAAGTAGTGCAGTTAGGATTCAAACCTAGGCAGTATGACCAGAATTCATGCTTGACCACTATGCCTCTCATATGGTATTTGTTTCATTGCACTTATGGCAGATATTTGATATTTATTGGTGCTATTATTTAATGTGCTGTTAATTAATTAGAGGCTTCCCCTCACTAAACCATAATCTCACTAAGAGCAGAAATTCTGTCTAGTTTTGTTGCCATTGTATTGTCATACTTAACACAGTGGCTGGCACTTATTTAGTAATCAATAAATATTTGTCAAATGAATTAATCCGTCTTTATTGATGATTATCACATTTTTCATTTGCCTGGAACTTACCACTCCCTAAAGTATTCTGCTCTCCATATTTTCTGTTCATAAGAATGTGCAGAGCAGTTGATTATCTTCTGTTTTCATCAGCCCTTTAGCACTCCTGAGGGTAGCAGAGGACTCCCTGGTTTTCTCTCAGATGAAACCTTCCCAACTTCCTCCTTCTGGAACTAGGGCCAATGTCCTTGAAATGGTCTCCCTCCAGGAAGAAAGCAGACAACTGCCCAATGACAGCAAGTAAAGAAGGTACACTGTGACTTTAATCAGTGAACCGGTTTCATTCTCTGCATCTTCTTCATTCCTCAAAAGGAAGCCTAAATCTGAATCTTCCTTTTTCAGAATTTCATGTTAGAAACAATTTGTTGTTGTTCTTCCGTAACAGGCAGTTCCAATCTGAAAGATGGCTGGAGTATGATTACTCCTGTTCCCTTTAGGATCTTTTTTTTTTTTTTTTTTGTAAAGATAGAGTTTCCCTCTGTCACCCAGGTTGGAGTACAATGGCACAATCTTGGCTCACTGCAACCACCACTTCCCGGGCTCATGTGATTCTTGTGCCTAAACCTCCCAAGTAGCTAGGACTATAGGCATGCGCCACCATGCCCGGCTAATTTTTTTTTTTTTTTTTTTTTTTAGTAGAGACAGGTTTTGCCATGTTGGTCAGGCTGATCTTGAACTCATGGCCTCAAGTGATCTGTCAGTCTTGGACTCCCACAGTGCTGAGATTACAGGTGTGAGCCACCATGCCCTGCCTCCCTTTAAGATCCTGATTCACCAAAATAAAGCATGGATGTGGTATGGAAATCCTCCCTAATGACAAAGACAGATCCATTTTTTTCTGTCCACAGAAAGGCTGCAAAGGAGGGCCTTATCTCCCTCAGCAACCTTTTTTCACACTGACCACCTCTTTTTAGCAGGAGGCAGCTGTGAAGAATGGGGAGAGAAGGAAAGGTACACAAGCTTTATTGGTGAATTTCCAGATATAAAAGTTAAGAGACTACTCAAAAGGATTTTCAGATGACGAAACAGTGGAGCCTGTACTTGTAAGTACAAAGTATTTACTTCTGAAAAATATATTTCCTTTCCTGATCAGTTTGGTAGTTTAACAATCTGATTGGCAAGCTGATCTGTCATATGCACATGTACACTCACATGCACACACCCTTCAGAGGTAATAACAATGACATACTCAGATATATTTTCCCGAGTTTACCTACCTTCATCTTGTCTGTCTTCACTTTGGCTTTTAAATAGAGACATTGCAGAGTAGAACAACTATAATTCCATGAAATTTCTATAAAGGAAATAAAGATTCAGAATGAGAATTTCTCATGCTGATACTGTGTCATTCAAACATATGCTTAAGAAACTTGGAACTTGGTCCCTGAAGTCCAAAATGACCTATCCCTAAGACACATATGCTAGTTTAGAATTCACTTTATTTATCCTAACTGTAACGTTATAGTTCCGAAGCTTGGGAAACAGATTTCATTTCCTGACAACCAAGTTGAAGTTGATGACTACAATTGTCAAAAAAAATGATATGAAACCTAAAAATAGGTGAAAGATAGATGATCTTTTAGTACAGTTTTGGGTTTTTATCTTTGATTAGTTTTCTATTGACTGGACTATTTTATAACTTGTTAGGGCAGAGGTTAACTTAGAGATTTTTATCTAGCAGTAACAAAAATGTTTTGTGTCCGGTAGAAAAGATGACTCCAAAGTTTATGACTTATTGCACTTTAGGACATTAATTAGTTTTGTATATAAATCAGAAATCGTATTTTGACATTTCTTTATTAAATTACCTATAAATATTTAGCTCTTAATTTTTCATTTGAACTGATCTTAACATCTTACTGGTTCCCTCATTAATTAATGAATTAAATAAAATATTTGAGACCTATTCATTTCATAGTCATATAAAAGTCAGGTTTTTTTTTTTTTTTTTTTTTTTTTTTTTTTTTGA